AATTTTTTTTAATATATATATAATACAGGTTTTTTTCTTTTATTTATATTAAATAAACTCATGATTTGACCATAAATGCGATAGTTATAAATATGGATAAACCTTTGTTCTTGGATCAGCATGGCGCGATCTTATATGGACATGCTTAAGACGATACAAGTCAAACTATTGCCAGCAGACTAGGATGTGAAAAAAGTACAGTTAACAATATTATTAAACACTTTAAAAAAACTGGAACAGTTATTTCAAATAAATCACTAGGCAGATCCCACTTCTTATCTCTCTTGATCAAGTCCAACTCAAGGATCTCATCACAAACGATGAAGAAAATAATTGTCGTTTGTCTGTTATAAAAATTAGAAATGTCTGGTTAGCACATATTAAAAAAACTATCTCTATTATCACTATTAGACAGAACCTAAAAAAAATAGGACTTCAATCTTGCAGGCCCTGCCCGAAATCGTATATTTCTGAAACAAACTGCAAAAAATGTTTAAAATTTGCCCTCCAATATAAACACTGGAAACCTTGGCAATGAAAAAGAATTTTATTCTCAAATGAATTCACATTTATCTTATTCCAATGTAGTGATTGAATTTGGCAAGAAACAAATAAAGAACTTAAGCTATCTTGTATTTCTGCTTCAGCAAAACATAATCCAAGCCTAATGTTCTGGAGGTGCTTCGCTTATAGTGGCTTAGGTCTTATTGTTTCTCTCTATAGATTGGTTACTGGTACTGCACATACTAAAACTATTAAAAAATATGTTGTACCTACCATGCAAAAATTTTTTCATGTCGTGATATTTTTCAGGAGAATAATGCGATGCTGTATAAGTTGAAAGTTGTCACGGCCATTTGCGAAGCTCATAGAATCAAAAAATTATCATGGTTCTTCCAGAGTCCTGACCTGAATCCTATAGAGAATTTATGGGATGAAATGAAAGAGGCAATTCATAAAAAATCACCTGTCCCGTCAAACCTTAAAGAATTAAAAAATATGTGAAATGTGTATGGAGAGATTTTTCGTTCGAATATTATCAAAGACTGATTGACAGCATACCCAATAGAGTCAATGCAGTTATTGCCACAAATAGATATCATACGAAATATTAATAATAAAAATTATAGATAGAAGTTTAATAAATAAAAAAATAAAAAAAATTTTTATTTTTTATTTTTTAAGTTAAAAAATTTTACAATTTAAAAGTGGCTGGATCTTTTTGATAACTTATTGTAATTTAGAACCTGGCGGAATAGAATTCTCTACATCCCTTCACCAGTCACAATTATTTTGTTCTTTATATATTCTTTCTTTACCATTCTATAAATGAATAAATTATAAGTAAA